TTTATTAGAGTCATCATTTTTGTGGTTAAAGATTATATTATGATTTTAACATGGACTCATTCATCTAGTTAACCTATGTTAATAATAATTAATTACTATAAACATTTGCTATCACAAATTATATCAAACCTAAATTTTCATTATTTAATTATATTAGTTGAAATGGAAATGACTGCTATAACATCACGTGGTTTATTTTCTAGATACATGTTAACTTATTATATCATCTTTTGTAAATTTATCATTGCATTTCAAGTTAATAGAAAGGACATGGAAAAAAAATTTGGACTATAATTGTAACACCAACTAGAGAATTTAGTATATGTGAAGAAATAATAATGAATATTGTTTATCAATTTATTATTCTTAATTTTTAAGCTATGAATATTTTGCAAACAATTTTCCCTAAAAGAATTAAATCCTTTTTTTAATATATATTCAACAACATTATGCTATCACTTCCATTTATTACACCTTACGTTAATTAACTAAAATCATGGGCTTTTTTGATAACCAATATTTCTTGTCAACTATATCTTTATCTATAGTGATAGGATTCTCCAGGAAAATAAAAAGTGACAAAAAGACAAGACGTTATTAATATGTTTACAAAACTTATTATGGAATGTTAATTTGTTTATTTTGAGTTGTAATAATGGGTTATATGCTTCATTAGTACCCACCTCAGACAGAGAATTGTGAATGTTCACAATATTATTTATGATAAAATATTTGTTGTCTTTAATGCTCTTTCATGATAATAAGATGTTAGCTAAGCATATATGATTAGGGTATTACTGAAACTAAATGCACAAAAAATACATTAGCAAAAAACCCTCATGAGAAAGGTTAAAGTTACAACACATTAATGCATTAACCAAAAAAATGGTTGTTAACTTCAAGGTTCGTGAGATTAATCGAGTGGTGTAAACTGGCCCAAACACTCACGTTAATAAAAAAAAATTTAGTGTATCAAATATTTCTTTGCTAATTTTTTTTGTTATTATCTAAAAAACATTGTTAGAGTATGATACATTAGTTTGATGAATGCTATCCCGACAAGAAAAAATCATCCTGAATAGTCCCTAACAATTGATGAAAGAAAATAAAAAACAAAAATTAAATTCCAAACAAAACAAATAAGCAATGCATATAATTTAGAAAATTATATTATTTCTCTGCCTAGGATATTTATTTTATTTTTTGAAGCAACTTTTTAAAAAGTTCAACAATAATAAAATAACTCAATAATATTATTATATTATAAACAAATAACAACATAACAACACTTGTAGTAAGAAACACAATAAAAAAATTATATAAGTAAAAAAAAGTGAAAATATGCTTTCTTGATATTATATGGTAACTAGTGTATATACATAAACATTGTAATTAAGCTGAATGTATGGGAGGTTATCTAAGGGGTTTTTATACAAGGAATATGGATGAGTTTTGTATATTACAGCTTGTGAAAAACTCATAATTAGATTTTTTGTGAAAGCTTTAAAAGGCATGTGGAATATAAAATAGAGAACAGATAGGCAAAAGCTTACTTAACATATTTATTATAAAGTGTAATGTGGTGTACTTCAATCTAGTAGGTTTGTGCATGAGGCTATTTAGATTTTTCTTGTTGGAGAAAAGAGATCTATTATGTGGGATTGTAAAATCAAGTGAGAAACTTTAGAATATAGTTCTACGAGTCTAACAGCCAAGATGTCCTGAGAAATCTAAAAAGAAAAAAATCAGTGGGAAACTCAATAGCAATATGGTACAGGTGACAAAAAATACCATAAGAAAAAGTAGAGTTCTTTAGGGAACAATCTAGCAGGTTTAAAGGTGAAAAGGTGAATGAAAGGATATTTAGGATAAATGTCTAAGTTTTGGAAACAAATGAAAGATATATTATAGTTGAGAAGAAGGTAGTCTTGAAGGCTAAATAGTTTTTTTTTTTTTTGCTTGCAAGTCAAGAGTGTCGTGAAGAACCATATCTTGAGCAAGAAGAGGTAAGTCATTTACAAAGAAGTCTTATTTAAGTGGAGGAGGAGGGGAAAAGGAGGCCATAAGAATTGGAGAAAGGAGTAGTGTTTGTGATTTGGGTGGTCTGGTGAGTATGTCTGGGATCAAGTTCTTGTTTCTTTTTAGATGCTCGATGGTGAAGGCGTATTTGAAAAACCACTCAACTAATCTCAAAAGCTAAGAATGAGAAAATATCTTCCTCTTGAACTATAGTAGTTTTAGAAAGGAGGAACAATCCATGACTGTTTAGTAGTACAACGCTCAAATACTTGTCACTGTCATCAGTTTGGAGTATATACTGTCCTACTAATAGAATGACTAAAATAGGTAAATTTTATGTGACTATCTTTAATTGTTTAACAGTTTGAGTTTGCTTTTCTGTTAAAGAGTTCGTATCTTTCTTGATTATGAGTTAAAGTGGTATTATTATATGTGCAACTCTAAGGATAAATTTTTTGAGATATTAGATAATTTTCAAAAACTGTTGAACTTGTTTTCTTGTGAGGGGATCATTTGAAAACTTTTTAAGTTCTTCAACTATATGGGTGTCAGGTGTGTAAACACCATCTATAAAGATTATGCCAAGAAAATAGATTTTCTTCTGACATGCAAGCATCTTGCTTTCTGAAAGCATGATATCATGGTAGTGAACAATCTCTACAAATTGCTTTAACAAAGAAGTATGTGACTCCTTATCTTTGAAGAAAAGTAACACATTATTAGTGTAGATTAAAGTTGATCGAAACATGGGTTCAAATACTTTAATCATGGCCTTTTGAAGTAATACGGGTGCCACTTTGAAACCAAAAGGCATGAATCGCCATTGATATTGATAATCTAGTATGCAAAAACATGTTTCGTATTTGTCTTCATGATGAATGCCAAGTTACTAAAATCCGGCCTTGAGATCAAATTTGGAGGAAACTTTAGCATTGTGAAGGCATGAGAATAATGTCATTATATTTGGCAAAGAAACTTATCATCTTGTAAGAAATAATTTAAGGGTTGATAATTGATAACCAATTTGAGCTTGCCTCATTTTTGTTCAAACCTTTTATTAATATAAAAGGCTTCACAAGACCATTGTGAGTCTGTAGGTTCAATGAGACCTTGGGCCTGTAGCGGGGCACACTTATCTTGAGCTAGCATCTTGTGCTCAAGATTCATTCTTGAATGCTTGGCTTTCATGGGATTAATGTCTTCATTAAGCTTGAAAGGAAGCATAATAAAAAAACTATGGATTTTGCCATGATGGATAAGAACATTTAGCAAGAAATTCTTGATGAGAGTTTGAACATAAGTGTTATATAATTTGGGTTTTGATGGGGGTAATAATTTCTATAAGAGAGGGTTGGATTTCTTAGAGTGAAGGGATAATTGTATATGGGAGAAAATGAGCTCTATACTAAATACCACGAGAAAGGATTTAAAACTTGGATTTGAAACAAACATCAAGCCCAATAACTAAATCTTTTCCAGGTAAAAGAGAACCAAAGACATGGGTTTTGACTTAACATTAAGGCAAAATTTGTATAGTAATGGGCTTTTTAGTTTTGAATTGGGTGTAGAATACTTGATCATCTACAGCTCGGAGTATTCTTTATGTGGGAGCCAACAATGAAGTGGAAGAACTTTAGGTTTAAGAATGGTTATATGGGCTTTTGTGTCGAATAAGGCTATGGATTTGATAAGCTTACCATATGTGGAGGTAAGAATGGTAACATGGGCTAAAGGTATTGGATGTGAAGAGGTAATGGTAGGTTGAGCTTGGTAAAGTTCATAGATCTCATCATCAGAACTTTCATATGTAACAGCAGCTATGGTATCAAGAGTGATCTCATCCGTGAGAGAGAATAATGATTTAACTTTATTATTATCAAGATTGAACCTTTTATTTTGGGCCATAAAATCAATTAACTTTAATGACTAGGGCTTCTTTTATGGACAGGTCTTTGCAAAGTGACCTGTGTGCTTACAGATAAAACATTTGTTGGAGCTGGGAGTGAAGTCCTTAGGGTGTCTAGTGTGGCGGCGTTTTAAGAACTTCCATTTATTTTTGCAACCATTAAAAGAAGATTTGTGGATTTTCTTGAAATACTTCTTCTTTTTTATAGAACAATTGCAAACATCATTGTTTGCACATTTGTTCGGCAAATCTAGTCGTTTGAAAGCACAAAGCATAGTTTTATTAGGCTGTAATATCTTAGTGAAATATTTGTGTTGATCACACATTTTATTGAGTGCTTCCAACACCTGATGAAATATGGTGCCAAGAGATTGATTGTCAATAACTTCTTTTCTAGTTTTGAATAATCTAAAAGTTTTATTAGCCATATCTCTAGGAATAAATGTCAAAAAGGCATGCTTGAGGCTTGGATTATCGGAACTAAAGAGAATACGGTATTGTTGGTATATTTGTTTAAAATGTCTTTCAAAATTAGATCTCAGATAGGAACAACACTTCATTTTAAAGTATTCAAACTGTGCTATTTTTGTCATTTAAAGCTTCTCCAAGAAATTCACAATACCCCAAAGTTTTATAAAGAGACGTTATTTACAAATTGTTTTTGTTTGTAATTACCTAAGATATGGAATCAATCCTATAAAGTACTAGAAAACTGTGCAGATAATATTTATAATACATCCTTGAAAGTTGTGTTATCTTTGAACATATAGTTAATTCACTATAAATAAAATTTAAAAATTTTATTTTATTATTTTATTCATAAAATATTATCTAAAATAAAATAATTAGCTGTATTGGAAAAAATAGACATAGGTTAATAATAACAAGAATTGAATATTTAAATAAAATTAATATTTAAATATTTTTTTATATTAAAAAAATCACAAAATAGAAAGCAGATCCCATCCATGACAACCTCTAAACATGTCATAATCTGATTGCCTTCTGTGTCAAATCTTCTAATCACCTCACGGCACGTAATTATTCCCCATGCATACACCCACACTGAACCTCAGCCCTCACTCTCCTTCTTTCTCTCACAAAACCACCGTTAATCATTTCTCCAAGATCTCTAAAACACAAAATAACTAATCTCTCTCTCTCTCTCTCTCTGAAAAACCATGTCAACAGAGACAACGTCCACAACCGACCCGAGTCCAGACCCGGCTCCAACACCAAACCCGAATTCAAACTCCCTAATCCACCCACGACGGGAGCCATTCGAGCACGGACTCTTACCAATCCCCAAACTAATCTTCCCTGACACGACACAAATCCTAACACAACTCAAACAAAAACTCGCTCGTCACGACCGAGTCAATTCATCCTTACTCGCTGACTCTCTTCAGATCTCCGCCGACCACGCGAGGCTGATCCTCGACACGCTTGCTTCGGTCCTGAATTCCGAGTCCGACCCGCTCGTGAAAGCTCCGTCCGATGAGGTTGATTCAGTTGATGCCGATTTGCGTGATCTGATTTTGTTTCTATACATCCAGTCTTACAAGAAGTTGTTGCCGAGAACGCATAAAGATGCTGCTGCTGTTGCTGATGTTTGGCCGTCGACCTCAGCTTTCGATGGCTACTTATCGGCTCTATCGCCGCTTCAGGTATTTCTTTCTTCGTAATTAGAGGGATTAACTTGGCCAACTTTATAAATGCTTTTTTTATTTTTTATGGTGATGATGTTAATTGGGATTGTAAATGTTTTGTCTGTGATTAATTTGATGGAAATCTTTTATTTCATCGTTGATTAGGTTGATGATTATACAATGTGATAACATTTAGAAAAGAGTTAAATGCGTTTCATATCATAATGATCATCGTAATCAAGAAAATGTGCGTTCTTTTTCTTTGTTTTATGTTCTGGGTTATTTCAACGGGCTATGAATTCGATTATGATTCCATTTCTGGATTTTTCTGGGGGTTTTAAGATAATGATTTTGTTTTCTGAATTTCTGGTTTGGGAGATTGGATGATAGGTTTTGGCACATTATCTGGTGCACAGCTTCATTCTGTAGAACTATAGTTCTGGCTAGCTGATGCTCCTGGTATTCGCTTTTTATGGTGAGCTAACCAGAGTTTACACAGCGTTGGCACTAAACGCTTGTCTACAATCTTGGATTCATCAGCTTTTGCTAATGCCTTCAATGCTTAGAATGCTGCAAACAATACCAAGTTGACAGATGTTATAGGGATTCTGTTTTGTTTTGTCTTGTTTGTTGTGTTTGCATGTACATAATGTAGTTTAAAACTCATTTTAATGTTTTGTGGCTTGTTGTAATTGCTATTTTTGGAAATTTTGATTGTAATGTGTTCATGTTGATTTTTAGCTAGCGTTCCTTTGATTGCAGCTTGTGCGTAGCAACAGCCGCCGGTTTATGCCATCGCAGGCAGATGAAGAGGCTCATCAGTTGTCCTACCTACAAAAACACATGGCTAACATTCTCTCTCTTTTGGCAGAGTCCGTGGAAGGAGAAGGAGGAGAGTCTCTGGTTTGTCAATTCAGTTGTCTCTACATTTGGTTAGGTTAACACAGAAAAGTTTTCTTTTATGCACGCATGCTTTAGGAATTATGACTTTCTGCTCATGAGAGTATATTTCCAGAATAAATATGATTTTAAAAATGTTCTAAGGCTTTTAAATTGTGTAGTTTTATTGACGCATATTAATGGTTGGATCTTTTGGGACTACATAACTTATTTTCTGCTTGTCGGTTTCTTTTTCATCATGGTATTAATTTGCTAGTTTAACTACACTGTATTAGGTTTTATCCATGGAAGGATTTGAGCACCTTGGATTTCTGATTCAATTTGGTGACAAGGGATCTGAAGTAGTCACCTTAAGCCAAGCTGCTCCATTTTTTGCCAATTCTGATCCTGACATGCCCGCTGTTCCTGTACCTGCCACACAAGTCCTTGATTGGATTTCACAGAATATCGCATCTGCTTTGGAGCATATTACTGAAAGAATTTCAGCAAAAGAAAATGGACCAGCCAATTCATCTGATCCTGATGTTGCCATGGCTGATGCCTGTACAAGTTCAATCAAGACCTCGCCTAGTGCTAGGGGTTTATGTTTTATTGAGGGGATCTCTAAGTCATCATTTGTAAAGCAAGCATTGGATCTTAAAGGTTGTTCTTCGGTAAAGGTTAGCATTGAAATGAATATTCATCTATATGTGTCTGTGTTCCTTAAAAATAACTAGGTAGCATTATGTGAATTTATGATTTCCTTTTTTGAAATTATCACTTCTAATAGCGATTATTTAATGATATCTGGCAGATTTTTTTGCTTAGTTCAATATCATTCTGCTTGACTTAAGCGTGTTTTATTTTTTCCTCCTTGAAATGCATGGCGGGCTTAATCCTTAATTTTGTTAACATGTAAATCACATTTAAACTTATATCTGCTTGCAATGCGGATGGGATCCGACTTTAGAAATTTGGTTATGAACTTTGGTCATGGATATGCCTGGCTTTCTCTGACATTTATGTGTTGTCTGGACCAGTCTGCACCATGGCAATTTGTTATTATCTATCATGTGAGCTACCTCATGAAGAGAAAAGAGCCCTTGCCTTTTTTTGACCATTGTTTTGGTGAACATTTCTTTGCTTGCTTTGTCCATGCAGCATAGTTTAAAATTTTTATGCTTCAAGTTTGTATTGTTTTTTGGCCATTTTGACACTGTTGTGTGGTTGCAGGTTCTGAATTGTCATGATTCCATCCTTTACATCTTAGCACCTTTGAGATATGCTACCATTTATGGATGCTCTGATTCCACTATAGTTCTTGGAGCTGTTGGCAAGGTAGTAACAAATGTTTGGTTTTTGCTGAGTATTGACCAGTACCTAGTGTTTGGACCAGCTGGAAACCTTTCTTGAGTGGTAGTTTTTTTAGTTACCAAGTGCACCTCCTTTAACTTACGAGAAATTGAATGGTTTAAATTTTTATAATTTGATTTTTCACCACATTGCTGTCTACAAGTGTATATGCAAGTGCATATGGCATTATCATATATTACATAAGCATCTGTAGTGCACCTATTAATTCTTCCTGTGTGGACATACGACTTGATATTTGTGTGAAGAACATCTACTGAGGAATCTATGGTTGCCAACTTTCTGTATGGAGAGGGTACCTTTCCACATTCCTTCATCTGCTATATTTTTTCATAGTAGTTGTTACTTTTGCTGAGTGATTAGTCCTGCAGCGTGTGCTTTTTCTGTTGGAAACATATATGCTTTGTCATGAATTTCTGTTTTGCCCCCCCATAAATTGATGCCCCTTTCTCTGTCAGCCTACTAATGATTTTCCTGTTATTTAATCATCAACTCATGTGTTATGGGTTTTTCTGGATGAAAAATGACGCGTGCATGTCTTTTTGTTGTCTTTTACAGGCTGTGAGGATTGAACATTGTGAGCGAGTTCATGTTATTACAGCAGCAAAACGAGTCTGCATTGCCAATTGTCGTGAGTGTGTGTTCTTTCTTGGGGTAAATCAACGACCATTAATGGTTGGTGATAACCATAAGTTACAGGTGAGCTTGACTATTTTGTTCAGTAAACCGTTAGCTGTTGTGGCCATTATATTATTCTACATTATACAAGGACTTGCAGAGCAGAGATTTCTCATGGTGATGCAAGTGTCCACTTACCTTTCATGTATGGTTTTGAACATAAAGAAAACTTACTCATACTTGAACCTCAATTTATTTATTTTTTAACTAAGTTTTGGAGCTTTTTGCTGATATTTCATAGTATTAGTCATGGCTAGATGTGGGCCTGTGAAAGGCCACGCTGAGCTCTTTAACCTCACTCTCAAAAAACATGTATATCACAATGATGTGATTTGTTAATTAAGTTAAAAAATGAAACCTCTGTACCTTTGAATCCTGTAGGCAGTTCATTGGCTATAATTGAACATCCTTTCTCCCTTTCATTTTTGAAGTACTAATGAAGATTAACTTTAGCTTTCTGTTAAATTTTAATCAGGTGGCACCATACAATACATTTTATTCAAACTTGGAGGAGCACATGGCTGACGTAGGCATAGATGCAAATATCAACAGATGGGATGAAACTTTAGCCTTGGGAGTGGTTGATCCCCATGATTCATTGTCCCATTCTGCTGGTGTCTCTGATGTTCAAGCTGAATCAGCTGCACGACTGGACCCTGACCAATTCACCAATTTTCTGGTATGAATAATACTTTCCCGTGTTAATTTACTGAAATGTTCCATTTGTTAGTTTGTTTTAATTTCCTTGTTGATATCATTATTTATTTTCAGTTGAATTTTGCAGATTTAATTTGATCTTTTGCATGTATGTGAAGTTTCATGTCCAGATTATTTGAACTTATCATTTTGTGTTTTCTCTCCTTTTTCTTTCTTTATTGTCTCTTCCTCTTTGAGCACCCATCACATGGAACTTCATGGTTTTTTTTTTTCCCTTTTTTTGAGTTAATTTTACTTGCAAAAAAGTTCATGTGCTTTTTTTTCCCTTTTTTTGAGTTAATTTTACTTGCAAAAAAGTTCATGTGCTTTTTTTTCCCTGCTTGATTGACAGATTCCAAACTGGTTTGGAGGTGAATCCCCAGGGTCAACAAAAGATAACCCATTTCAATTACCCGAGGCTTATATAGCATCTCAGCAGAGAAATGTATGTGCACTAGCGTTCAAACTGATTACAACAGGATGATTTTTTTTTTTATTCTTCTGGAGAAACATTTATAATAAGATGATAGGAGAGCTATCTAATTGTATTTTGGCTGTGCTGCATATAGTGCATGAGACTGGATTCTGCCTTTGCTGTCTCTTTCCAATGTACAATAATTGCTAGGTTTTGGTGTTTGATTTAGTGTAATGCCTCCTTTTCCTTTCCAGCAAAAGAATCTGGGAGAGATAAAGCAATTATTGAGGGAAGTTCCTCTTGAAGAAAATCAGAAGCGGGAATTGTCAAGTGCACTCCACCTATTATTTAAAGACTGGCTATATGGTAGTAATCATCACTTTAATTCTTTTTATTTCTTCATTAATATTGTAAAATGCTAGAAATATGTATGTTTATGTGATTGAATGTAGATGTTTGATTCAACCATTATAAACCTTTGGAATCAAAATTTGATGTATAGGAAGAGACTCACACACACTATTGTTGGATGCATGGGTGTGCACAAGCATGTAAGCATCTTGTTTCCTGCATTTAACTTTATTTATGTACATGATTTGTACATATCTATGTTAAAAGTCTCTGTAATATCAATGCATGGATATTTTAATAATCTATGTATCTGTGCATATTGATACTGAATAAAAAAAATAAAATACACTAGTGCTTTATTTTTAGGATCCATGGTTATTGCTTGCATGGTTTATTTGTTTGAGGAAATATGTTTGCTGTGATCATGTATCCTCCTTTTGAATCATTTTTATTGGTTAAATTTCCCACTGATTACTTGAATTGCAATTCAGCTTGTTATAGCAATCTCAGCACTTCAAGTCATAATTGCCATTCATTGAATCTCTATAACATCTGTTTCAACCCAGTGTGTGTTGCCTGCCTGCAAATTTGCAGAGGATATTTACACATGCTGGGAACATATTGGTAGGACAATTTGTGGGGCTGTAGATAGGTAAATTCTTCCTGTTATAGGGAGTAAGTGGTAGATAGTAATACCCTTCCTCCATCAATTCTTCATTCTAGAATATGGATGAGTTTTATTAGGTCAGATTATGTTATTTAGAAGGTGGGCTATAAAGGCATGCATCAAGTATTTGATTTTACAAAAGACTCGCAGTTTTAGGAAAGAAGGTAGCGTTGGAGTGTTTTTTTTTTTTCAAAAAAAAAAAGAAAGCACATGCAATGAATGGCATATCTTGCTGTCTGAGGGAATATGATAAGATCCTAACGTGACAAATTGAAGTTAGAACTCTCTTGTCATGGAGAGCTTGGCGGGGAAGTGCTGTTCCGCAACCGTACAATACTTATCTATACCCGTGTCATCTATTATAAGAGTGTAAACCATATATCGATACCGTGTTAATGTTAACCGCTTGCAACTCTGCATTTGTTATTGTCTGTTATCTAATGTGAAACTGTGCATCCAGAACTCGTAATGCATATGCGTTATTGTTGATTTTATATAAGAAGCTCTAAAATATTAACTGAGTTGTCACTGGCCTTTCCTATGATGTTACAGCTTCAGGAAATATCAGACAACTTTACTGCCTACAAGGTGATTAATGATGGATGATTGTTTGGTGCAATCAAGGGTGTTTTCAGAAGGAAGCTTTCTGTTGTTCTTTCAGTCTTGATGATATATCAAATGGTAGTATATAGAGACAGCTGAGAATCAACCCTGTGTACTTTGATCCTTTGGAGTGGACATTTATCCGGTATCGTTGGAGCAGAGAATGCACTGTCTACTCTCAGTGTAATATTTTTTGAAAGGAAATTTTACTGTAATATTTGTTGATTTAGGTTCACAATCTTGTGAATTTTTCCGTTGCTCTCACCATCTAGATTCTCTTTATTTATTAAACTTTGAAGTTTCCTCTATTGCCCAGTTGGTTATAATATCGGATTAAAAAGTGGAACTTTCTGGAAAAAAAAGCGAAGAAAGAACATCTTCAAATCTGTTCTGGGTGAGCTAGAATACTGTGGAATGTTTTTCGTAATGCACAAATGTATAGTATTTTTTCTTAGGGATTTCGTGATAGTCTTCAGAGCATGCATTTCACTCTTCTCCTTCCATTTTAAACATCAAGTTATTAGCGATAACCTAGAGATTGATGACCTAGAGATTGTTTGGTATTATGATAACTTGTATATTTTTTCGCCGATCACATAAAAAACAAACTATTGTTGATCAGCCAAGCGTTGTAATTTTCATTCATGAATGGTAGATTGCAAATCCAGATGGAGTGCATGTTAAAAGGAGATTCATTGCTGATTCTGAATTTCTGATGTTCTAAAACCCAAGGCCGCAATGTTGCTGGCATGCTAAAAAATGAGCTCGATTAGGGTTTCATGTAGCTGACTATCGCTTTTAATTATAACATTCGATTTCAAAAAAAAAAAAAAAAGGGTATTTCCTAACTGTAAAAAATTACATGACCACCGACCTGAAATGGATGTCCATCAACTTGCCTCTCCTGTTCATCAGCATCTTCTGTTGCGGGAGCTTGAGGACCTACGATCATCTTGCAGTTTGCACATGCAAAACTTGGGATTATCACAACTCACAAGAAGTAGCTGGATGGGGCCATTTGAAACACTTTACTGCTTGCTCTGGGAACCGGGAAGAAGGTGATAAATAGATACGCACCTGATGAGGTCAAAAGAAAAACTTCAATGGATTTGTTGGGCTTTTCCATGGCTACTGATGGATTGGGTTGTTCATGCTGTGTCACTAATCTGCAAAACAGAGTTCCTTGTGTGTTCAGGAAACCCTCCTGTAGCTAAGTCAGTTTAGTGATGGAGTTTTTTGGTATAGAAAACTAGAAGTAAATATATGGCTTTTTATGCCATAAAGAGCTGGATCTCTTTTACCTGCATCTTTGGGTATAAAACTATTTCACCCTCTAACTTACTTGCTAAGAAGATGATCTCAGTCGGTTCGGCGGCGGATGACACTGCTAGTTTAGCTTGCCTTCATAATCATATATAACGGTCAGTTTTTGCTTTTTATACTAGTTATTCATGATGTAAGAAATCTCATGTCCTCTTGGCTGTAGCAAACAGTGTTTTGAATGGCCGTGAAATCAACTAGTAAACAGAGATAGCGTGAGAATATTTTATGAATGATGGAATGCTATGTATGTGTTGTTTCGTGCACCAAATCAATCTTAGTGAGGGAAAAAGGCTCCACAGTTGAAAATTTACAGACAGACCAAGGCGAAAATTGACTCTGCACACTCAGCCGTCCTAGCCATGCCCCAGCCGTCCTAGCCATGCCCAAATGGCTCGAAGTTTTTTTTTTTTTCCTTCCCCTTTCCTTTCAAGGTAATATCATCGCATATCCGAATTTGATAGCTAGACTTGAGAAATTGCTGAAAGAGCTCAACCACATAATCATGTAAGCTCTGCAAGGTGCTGGACAGTTCGTAGTATCGCTGAGATCTTGCCTTGAACTGTGATCAAACCGGCTTTGCCAGCTCTTGCAACTCGGTAGAACGTTCAGAATCTAATGTTCCTGCACAAAAAACCCCCTCGTTTCTCTTTGCCTTGCATACCCGATAAATTGCTTGAAAAAGAAGGGCTGGAATCAGGAATTTAACATGGTTTTGCTCATTAAAGTCCTATAAATGCCTTCTCAAACTGCTATTGAAAAGAAGTATATGAGAAGAGGATCTTTTTGGACCAGCTCCATGGATATAACTTAACACGTATGAATAATTATATATATATATATATATATATAAATCCAAATCAGGAAAATAAAAGATAAGTTCACTTTCTTATAAATTTGGCTTGAGATAGAACCAAAAAATAAAGAAAAAAAAAATGAAGGATCCAAATAAGAAAGATCAAAGATGAGTACCTTAATGTATCATTCGTTTTTAGAACGAAGAAGGAATGAATGGCTTTTGTTACTCAAGCTTAATTACTATTTGCAGTTCCACGAGGATGGATAAGTAGTTATTAATTGACTTGCAAATCAATCATATTAATGGAGTAATCAAATTTAATAGAAATATTTAATTTAAATAATATGTAATTACGATTTTCAAATAAAATAAATAAATATAATAAAAACAGAAGGGACATGTCTTCATATTCCTTCTATTTTAAAAAAGAATAATCACATAGACCCTCTTATAGTTTAGTCAATTTTTTACTTTGGATTGAAAAATTACTTTCTCTCAACTTTAATAATTTTATAAAATTTTACATCCTCCTATTTTGGCACAAAAAAGTCAACAAAAAACCTTATATTATTTACTATTTTACCATTACATTCAATTTAATAGCTAAAGTGCCCCTGTTGACTCCAAATAACGAAAATATCATAATATTTTGTTTATCCTAGAACAATCCAGGCCAAATCTCCCCCCCTATTTATAGAGACTTCAAATGGAGACAACCTTTTCCTTGACTTGAACAAAAAAAAAAAAGGGGACAAAAGGCTAGAAAAAAACATTGCTCACCTTCTGCCACACCTAAACCCTAGTCACCAAAACCACAAACCCAAAACCTAGCCACCGCACCACCTTTATAACCATCCTATCATATCTACATACCAGCCTCTATCCCTCTTAGAGCAACTCAATACTGAAATCCAATTACCCCTATTATCAAAATTGTTATTATTTTACCATTAATTATGATGTGCGTAAGCTGGCCCGAACACCCACGTTAATAAAAAAAAAAAAATGCCATCATTTTACCATTTCGTAAGCCATCATCTACACCCGAAAGCGACTGCCATCATTTCTCATCTTTTAAACCACAACCTACAAGGGAGAGCCACTATCACTCTTCCCCCCACAACGACAACATGCCTTAGCTTTCCCCCGTCGTCAGCCACGTACACTGGACCAAAGCCAAGCATAGTTGTAGACCCATGTCTATCACATTCCTAGCCATCAACAAACATGTATAAACTGACCTAAATAATTTTATAAAATGACCTAAATAAAAAAAGGATGAAATTTAAATTTTAAAAAATAAACTTGGAAGGATCAAATTAAAAAAAGAAGAAGTTGGGTAACCGAAAAAGAATTGCTTGAAGTTTTACCTGCTCGTTCAACTTAGTCCTTAATGGAAGAAAATCTAAGGGGCTTGATACTTGGTAAAGCTTCAAATTCAATTCCCAAATTTTAATTTCTCTAAGCTAATATAATTAAGATCTATTTTTCTAAATTAAACATCAACCAAGCAATGAGATATTTTTTTCAAAATCTTGTGATTAGGCATGCAAAACAATCCACGAAAAACCCAAACTCAAATTATTGTAATGTTAAAGGATAAATAAAAAAATTAATTGGTAAAAACATTAAGAAAAAACTGAAGTATAAAAGAAAAAAACCATTCTGAATTACTTTTGTAGTACATAGTGACCTCTCTTGGTGTACAATATTCCAAGAGAAGATTTAGATTTCTTGTAATGGTGAGATCCAGTGATAAGATCCACACGTACACTGAACATATCTCATAATTTCTCTAAAAACAATTTACTTTTGAGAAATTAATTTATTGATCTGTGATTTTCTAACAACATCTAATACTGTAATGCCTTCAATTGCGAATTCACTTCATTGTGACTTCTTGTTCTGTAATAGGAAAATTGTAAAACGAAAAGAACATTCGTGGAACAACAACGTCAAAGAATCAAATCTAATATAGTAAAAACAAAGACGAGTGAAATATAATATATGAAAACTTTAAAAAGTAGATTTCTGCATGCCCATTTAAAGCTTGAAAATTCATCATTGAACTTCAATGGATAAAATCCCAAATGAAGTGGCTTAATTTAAGTTGGATCTGTATTCAATAATAATAATAATAATAATAACCAAGACAATGTCTTATGATTAAAAATCGAGGTACCTTCTTGAATTTAAGTTTGATTTGCTGGCATGGCCCAGATGCAAAGGGTTGCTGCCACGTGGTATTACAATTTAATTAATCAGCCAGTCACGGGCCATTAATTTACTCAACCCATAACAATTTAATTAATTAGCCAGCTGCCTCCCTCGTTACTTGCCGGAGATTATCATCTAATCTCTTAATTATTATGGTGGGATCAACACTAATAATTTCTTGAAGAACACTTTAATTTTCTAACTTTATTATATAATCTTGTAACAGCATCTAATATTGCCCTCGAAAGCTAGGAAAATCTTCTTCGAGCTTAAAAAGACAAGATACAAAACATCACAGTGCACTTGGCTCGTCAATTTTCAGAAGATGGTTGTTTCAGGTTTTCATTGTTTACAGCTGATCAATCTTAGATCCACTCATAAAATTCCAACGATAAAACCAGTCAAATAATTCAGGACATAGCAGCTTGAGCATGAAAAGAGAACTCGACCAAGATGGCTCTGTCAAGTACATGTCACCACGGCAAGCGCTATGCACAATTGCTTCGGCACATTGTCTTGTTGATTCAATCGGTGGGAGAAACTTGGCTTGAAACTATATATAGATCACAATCAGTAGTGAACTTCCTAAAAATGGTGAATATTCTTGTTATTTACTTGGCTAATGGCCTACCTTTGACAGTGAATCAGGCACAGTCATTTCTGACTCGATCAATCCTGGAAGCACTATTGTTATACCAATATGGGAATCGCATTCAACTCTGAGTGTCTCATAAAAGCTTACCAAGGCTGCCTTGCTTGCCTGAAGTCATTGCAATTGATCCATCGTTAGTGATCGGAAATGAGAAACTGGTCATTAGAATTGCATAAACTAGCTAGGGATATGCATACATTGTAGAAGGTTGCCCTTGGAGTTGGTACCCAAGCTGCCACTGATGTAATCGCAACAATCTTCCCTCTGCTTTTCCTCAGGACTGGAATAGCAAAGCGAGCGCAATATGTTGCCCCCAAGAAATTGACATCTTGAGACAAGGATGGAAATTGAATGTTGTTATTTTTATGATAATAGTTTAAAAAAACTATCATTTGGACAGGCTTAGAACTAAAAATTAATGCATTCTTACTCCCAGACACTCTGTAAACTTAAACAAATTCCCTGGGGGAATTTCATCATAGAAAAAAAAATTCACAAGAAATTTTTCTTGCTTCCCTCGTTACCGTTTTCTCTGGAGAAGTCCCATTTGAATATTATATGATGTAGGGATCTGTTGGATTTTGGGTACAGAAATACCCTAAGGTTGTGTTAACATTGACTCCGAGTAATAAAATTTATTCATGCTAAAGTTACCAAGATTGGAGCGAAATCAGACAGCTTGTAATTTTCGAACAACTCAGCCCGCAAAATCCCGGCGTTACTAACCAAATGATCCACTGTTAAAGAAGAAAAAAGACCATGACATGTTACAGCTTAAAAGAATTATTAGGCATAATTGGCAGATAACAACGTCCGAGAAACCATTCCTTGCTTGGATACTTACGTTGACCGAAGTGGTTCACTGCCTCGTCTACAATTCGTTTGCAATGATCGACTTTTTTAAGCCTGTTTGGAATTGTGGTTGTTATTATTTTTCAAATAGTTTTTTATATCAAAATACATATTAACAATATTTTTTTATTTTTTAAAAATTATTTTTAACATCAGTATATCAAAATGATTTGAAAATATTAAAAACATATTAATTTAAAGTTAATAAAAAATTAAAAAAATTTTAAATTTTTTCAAAAACACTTTTAAAACACAAAAACAAATAGGCTCTAAGACAGTCTTCTCTTCTCGCAACAAGGGCTAATCCAGCTCCTCGTCTAGCATACTCGTATGCAAGACCCTTTGTTTTTTTCCACATACAATACAATAGAAATATTATCAATATATGATATAGCAGAGATGTTGCTCATCGAGGAAAAAGAAAAAAGAAAGTTCGAGTCATATTAAAATTTATCTTAGAAAATCATGAGCCCAGTGGGGGTGTTCTATTCAGTACACATGCGAATCTATCAAAAAGGGGAAAAAAATTGAGACTGGTACAGACCTCACCAATGCCAGAAGATGCTCCAGTGATGAGCACAACTTTTCCAGCCACATTTTCAGTGAACATAGATCTTTTTATGTAACTTAGCAACTTGAACACAAGGTATGGCGGTAAGATTACTAGGATTGAAATGATTATCATAAGAGGAAACACTATATTCAACAATTTGTGAATCGAGGTCATTGCCATGTTCCGTTGAAAATTGAAATGAGATAGGAAATCGAAGAGTTTTTATGCCTCTCTTGGGGAACTTGGAAACAATTAATTAGTTGAAGTTTTGGCTTATCTAGTTGGCTGAATGTGATTGCCGGCTAGCACGATCTGGCTTCGGAATCAAAACTCGATAAAAATACCAGCCTTGGCAGCCTCATATACACATTTAAATTTAGTACATGTGCGGTCGTAAATTTATTCATCTTTTTTTTTTAGTGACGTTGCTACCATTCATAATATATAATGTTCCATAAATATAATAAAAAGTATACGTGTGAATGATGCGGATAATATTTTTATTTAGATAAATACTAGATAAATAATTTATGCTATTATATATTAAGTTAAATTTTTCTTAACATGAGAACAAAAAAACTTAAACAATGATAGTATTTTTAAAAGAGCAAAAAAAAAAAATGGAACCCATATCATTGATTCAAATAAGTTTAATAAACTCAATTAATTTAATAATATGATTATAAAAAAAACAACAATAAAAAAATAACAATGACTAATAAAAAAAATAAATGCTTGTCAATATTACAAAAAATATACCTTCTAAATATTCTTAAAAGATTTTGATGATTTTATTTGATAATAAAAAAAATTAAATGAGAATAAGATAATCTCATAAAAATAAAAATAAAAGAAACTCGTAGCTTAATTACTAGCAAAGCAAAGGTTGAAGGATTATTTGAAAAAAATCATTTTTAAAAAAAATAAAAAAATATAACCCAAGTCAACAAACTAAATTCATGAGATTAGAATAAGCCCGCATAAAAAAATTGAATAAAACAATAGAGGTAAATTTTTAAGCAAACTAAATGATAAAATATAGGATTGAAAAAAAAATCAATTTTAAAAAATATTAAAAAAAACTCAAGTCAACCCGGATTAACTCGATTAACCCACAACCTGAAATATGAAATCGGTGTAACCCAACTTAAAGAAAAGCAAAAAAAATAAAAATATAGGCCCAATAATCTAATACCGAGGGACAAAATTTAAAAACAAATTTAAAAGACTAAATTTAAACCAAGTTAATTTTCAAAACTTGTGATCTGAGTTAAATGACCGAGTTGCCTCAAAGAAGAAAAACATTAAAAAATTATGAAGCAAAATTTCTATTCATCAAAAATTTAAAAACAAAAAAAATATCAATCAAAACAATGAGAGTCATATTTGGTATAAAAATGAAATGAAAAAATAATAATGAGGGACTAAATAAATCAAGAAAAAGATAAAAGAAAATAAAAATAAAAAATAAAGATCAAATTAGATATAAAAAAATAAAATAAAATATCAAAGGATAAAATTAAAAAAAAAATCAACTTAAAAAGATATTAAAAGCAAAATAAATAGCATTAAAAAAATAAATACCAAATTTAATATAAATATAAATAGATATGACATGTTTGATTTTTTGAAAGTGTTGGTATGAAATCTCAGATGAAAAAAAAAATAAAAAGAAAATAAATCCACTAAAACTGGTAAAACTTAATATTATTGTCGGTAAAAAATAACCCTTCCTTCAAAAATATAATAAAACTCAACAAATAATATGCTAGATGCAAGATAGATTATGTACACTCCCAAATTTATAACTTTATATACAATAATTGGCTGAACCTGCTATTGTATAATTTATTTATTTATTTTGAGAAATATAATGTCTTGAGCTGCTTGCATAAATGGATGAATCATATTTTAAAAATTCTCTTGAGATGATATTTTTGAAAACAATATACTCAATTGATCATTTTTAAAGAACGTATATGGACCAATTAACAAAAAAAATTAAATATAAAACCTCAAATAATTTTGTATTATTAATAACAATCAGAACTTAGCAAGAAGAATGTAAAAGGCCATTGATTTTTCTTTTGACTGTTCGTTCTCTTAGTTTGTGGGTTCCAAATATATAGTAAATTTCTTATAATTTTTATATAAGGAAAAGAGGTGCTGGAAATTGAGTTCAATTTAATAATTTATAACACTTTAATTGTGGAGTGATATCCAACAAGACCATCTTGCCGTTTCAGGCTTGCAATATAGCTATCGTTTTAAATTTTGATTCGATTTTTGGCCCCCGCTGAAGCACTAAATGTTCAGGCCGGGATCTATATACAAATACACAAATTAAAATTTTAAGAGTTATTTTCCTTGGTTTTTCAGTTCGGTATAAAGCTTTTTTTTTTTGTCTTTCGTTTTATGCACACAAACATTTTTTTTTCTAGTTGGCTAATTTTTTTTAACGCTAGCTGTTATATAAAATTTCAATTAGTATATATATATATATAGAAACATTCAATTGTTCATCTAACACAACAGAAAACAAAGGAAAACTCATTATTAATATTCAATTAAATTACAAGCACTCACACGTACATAAGTAGAGGTAAAATCTTCTCTTCATACTTCAGTAGATAAAGACCGAAAAACATAAAAATAACTTGGCTTTCTTAGATATTTAGCCCACAGATAAGCTCGTAGTGATTAAAATAGAAGCTTGGGATAATAATTTGATGTTTCGTGGTTCATCTTGGAAAATAATACCAGCTGCTTACATTCGTCTTTCCTTTTGTGCTCCATTAACCATAAAATTCCAGCACAAAAGCAAATCCAATGCTTCTGGACATAACGATTTGACGATAAACAAAGCGTTCCACCAAGATGGCTCAGTCAAGTATCTGTCGCCACGGCAGGTGCTCTTCACAATTGCCTGTGCACATTGATTTGCCGACTCATTTGGTGGACAAAACTTGAGAGAATACTACACAGAAGTCATGGCTAAACAATGTTAATTATTGGTAGCAGCTACATTTGACAACTATAATGTGAAGCTTAGACTTCAAAAATTAGTTAATTTATTGGATTGTTTACCTTGGCTAGTGAAGAAGGTGAGGTCATTTCTGTATCGATCAACCCAGGCATCACGATTGTTATACCAATATGGGAACCGATCTCAACCCTCAAGGTGTCATAAAAGCTTATTAAAGCCGCCTTACTTGCCTGAAGTCGCCAAGGATAAACACTAAAAATCAGAAAAGCAAATAAAGAGATGGGAAATTGATCAAGGAAAGCAAGTACTACTAATTGGGATTTTACATACATTGTAGACGCTTAATTTTGGTGTTCGTGACCAAGGAGCTACCGATGATATCACAACAATTTTCCCTTTGCTTCTCTTTAGATGTGGAATGGCAAAACGCGAGCAAAATGCTGAGCCCCAGAAATTTACATCCTATCAGAGCAGAAGGAGAGTGCGTTGTTATATTGTTAATTTATTATTAAATATTTTTATTGATAATATAATGTTTTGATAGAAATCCAGTTTTCCAAGGGTGATGGCATGTTGATGATGATGCATACCATAATATGAGTCAAATCAGAGACTTCAGTGCAATCTTCGAAATACTCAGCTTGAGAAATCCCAGCGTTATTAACCAAATGATCAACTGCAGTGCAGAACCCAGAAGCCATGAGCGATATCAAAACTAACAAAATTAATTATCGTCTTCGCCAACAAATTAATGTCTAATGCCTTGTTTTGATGCCAAGACACAAAGTAAATTTCTAGAACGGGATAGTCATACCAGAGATACTTAGATGTAACAAAACAAGCATTCCTTGTACCAATTAGTGCTAGATATATTTAATTTTCATAACTAAAGAAAAAAACCATATTACTTTGTTTTTTTTTTATATATATAAATGACTCTATCTATAGTTATGTAATTAGGTTTTTTTTTTAAGATATTCAATCTCCAAGTAAAGTAGACTTCTCTACATGTATTTCCATCAATTTTCTAATAAAATCTTACAAAAAAAAAAAAAGTAATATAACCTACACGTACATATTTTAATGTCAAAAATGCTCCTTACTCCGAACAAGATATATATATATTTCAAGTTAGTCTTTGCATGTATAATTGTACCTATCCTATCATTAATATTTAATTAGATCTTTACTAAGTCCTTTCCTCGTTATTCTGAACAAAATATATGTTTTTCTAATTATGCGTGGCATATAAAATTAATTTATAAAACCACAAGTTTACCCTTCTAATATCTTAAGAGTAGAAAATATTTACGCAAATCGTTTTTGTTATTGTATATTTAGTTAATACATTTTTATCTTACCATTTTTTTTTTGACAGTTTTTAGATATCATAAAGCATTTGCTGGAAATTAACTGGAACTTTAATATGTCATCTAAAGTATTTGCAAGTGATATATGCACGTAGTCGACTTACGGTGGCCAAAGTGGTTCAACGTCTCATCAATGATTCGTTTGCAGTCTTCAACCTTAGAAACGTCCGCACGGACATGAAAAACATTTGGCGAACCCAGATTACGGGCTTTATCAGCTACTGCTCTAAGACGGTCTTCTCTTCTTGCAACAAGGGCCAATCTAGCTCCTCTTACAGCATATTCGTAAGCAAGATCCTTAATTTGAGGCCATAGACAAAAACAATAACACCATTATTAATACCATATATATATATATATGTATATGTATGTATGTATGTATGTATGTATATCAAGTAGAGGCAAAAAAGGAAAAAAACCCTCAAACTCTAAATGCGTTGGGATTGATACAGACCTCACCAATGCCGGAAGATGCTCCAGTGATGAGAACAACTTTTCCGGCCACATTTTCACTGAATATGGATCTTTTAATGTAGCTCAGCAACTTGAACACAAGATAAGGTGGTAGAATTATCAGGAGTAAAATGAGCATTGCAAGAGGAAACACAATATTCAACGCTCTGTGCATCAGGATCATGGCTGTCAGGCTATGAGTGCTTTGTTTACGCAAGAGAGAGGAGGGGGAATCTCATTATATGTAGTTATTACTGCCCAACTAACATACACATCACAGTCTTTCAACGATCAATAAACTAACAAACAAGAATCACAGCCTTTCAACGATCAATAAATATCAGTCCTTTTAAGTTACCCAAAAATGGGCGACAAAAATTGCAAGTATATCAAAATGGGGGTCGTTGTCGTTCCAAAACAATATGGGAACTGCTGGCTTCGACGAATAATTAAGAGAGAGCAAAACCCGATGATTGAGAGTGGAATATAAATCCAAAAACGATAGTTTAATGATCACGTAAAATACTAACTGGATAACATAAATCGAATTCGTCTTCATGACATTACACACTTTAATAGGTTTAATGACAGCGAAGGTTAAATTAATTGATATCGTTTTAGATAAAGGTATCATTTTAATTCTTTTTTTTTTTAATTTTAATTTTTGAAAATAAAAGGATAAGCGTCATTTTACAATACTTCATAAAATAAAAAGATATTATTATTGCACCTTTTAAATTCTTGAATGATAAATGGAACATAATGAATTAATTATAGAATTGGAGGATATTTAAGAATATGATAGTGATTGCTTTTTAAAATATTTTTTTTATTGGAAATATATTAAAATAATTTTTTATTTTAAAAAAATTATTTTTAATATTAGTATATTAAAATAATATGAAAATATTAAAAAAAATTAATTTAAAACAAATAAAAATATTTTAATTTTTTAAAAATATTTTTAAAATGTAAAACAAACAAACCTCAACCTCAAAAGCATCATTTATTAGTTTTGTTTTCGAGGACAAAATTAGTTTTTCATTGTAAAGTTCTCAAAAGACATTCATTCTTCTTACTTTTGTATTTATTTATTTATTTTAGTCACTTTTCTTTAATCCCACACTCCCCTAAATTCATTTATAAATTGGTGCAATAAAAGTTATGTAAATAAAATGAATGAGAAAAACATTGTCAACAGTGCATCCACATTGTATGTTTTGTGAGGGGATCCATATTGTATGTTGCACAATGGATTCCCCCTAACTTTTATATTTTCATGTAATAATAATTTTTTTAAAACAAATCTAAAGAAAAAACTACAAAAGAATGGTGTAAATGAGTAAAGTGTAGAGTGATAAGTTAATATTTCAAGTATAAAAAATAAAAAATAATATTTTTTTAAAAGAAAGTAAAAAAAACTAAAAAAAAAAAGATGAGACAAAAAAAATGGTTATAAATATACCATGATAAATATATCAAATGTAAAGAAAATAAAAATAAAAAAATCTAAATAATTGTTTCTTTTGTAGAAAAAACTAAAAATTATGTGTCATGACCCAGCTTTTTCAATGCTAAAATTAGAATGAATTTTATTTTTAATAAGTTGTTAAATTCTCAGTACTTTTTACAATATCATTTCACAAATTATAAATATATTTCATTCACCAGCAAAATATAAATCACATAAGATACTGTAGTTAATTTTCCATGCAAAAGTATACATATGCATTCTCGCATGCTTACAAATCTATAATTATTATATATATTTTTTGATTTTTAAAATTAATAATTATATATATTTTCAGTAATCTGAGAAGATTTAAATTAATAATTATTAAAAAATAAATCTAAAATCTGAATAATTAACCAATTGAACTACCCTAAAGTTTATATATAGTTATTTTCCGTCGTGGGTTGCTGGCAACGACCTTCTACTGCCCAGCTAACATAAACATCACAGTCTTTTCAACGATCAATAAACTAACAAACTTACATCACAGTCTTTCAACGATCAATAAATATCAGTCCTTTTAAGTTACCCAAAAATGTGCATAAAAAATTACAAGTACATCAAGCTGTGGGTCGTCGTCGTTCCAAAACAATATGGGAACCGGTGGCTTCAATAAATAAGCTCTGGAAAGTTGGGAGAGCAAAACCCGACGATCGAGAGTGGAATATTAATCCAAAGTAGAAACAAAAGATAGTTTAATGATCACGTAAAATACTAAGTGGGTAAAATAAATCGAATTCGTCTTCATGACATTACACACTTTAATAGGTTTAATGACAGTAAAGGTTAAATTAATTGATATCGTTTTGGATAAAGGTATCATTGAGATATTAATTTAATTCTTTTTTTTTTTAATTCTAATTTTTGAAAATAAGGGCATAAGGGTCATTTTATTATGTATCATAAAATGAAAAGTTGTTACTGCTCAAAACAAATTGACCGTTGTGAAATTACAGAATTAGCCCCTAAAGCAACATTTATTGGTTTTGCTTTCAAGGATAAATTTGGTTTTTCATCCTAGAGTTCTCAACAAGCATCCATATTTCCCGCTTTTATTTATTTATTTTTTTCTTTTAATCTCACCACAAATTAGCCAAAATTAACTTATAATCTGGTACAACAAGAGCTACATAAATAAAAAGGATCTACAATGCATTACGCACAATAAAATCCCCGTACCTTTTAGATTTACTACTACTAATAAGTTTAAAAAATATATAAAGTAAAAATTACACAAAAATAATGTAAATAATTTAAGTGTAGAGTGATAAATATTTCAAGTATAAAAAAATAATTTAAAAAAATAAAAAAAAACAAAAACAAAAAGATGAGAACAAAAAAATAGTTATAAATTTGTAATCAAGTGTAAAGTGATAAATATGTTAAATATAAAGAAAATACAAGGAAAAAATCTTTAAAAAAAACAAAAATTATGGATAAAACAATTAAAAAATCTATTATTTCTATATGGAAACATTATTTTCTTAGCTAAATTTCAAATTAAATTGAGTATGAAGGCATCAACCATAGAACAATATATATATATATATAAACTGTGAAAACTTAGTAAAAATAAAATGAAAGAAATTATGAAACTCAATTTTCAAATAACTCAATATAAAAAAATAAAATAAAAAATTATTTTAAAAAATAAAAGTTAAACCTAACAAAACTAAAAATCTAATAGGTGCATGGATTTTTGAGGTTCAATAACATGATTTATTGTTCAAAAACATTTTTTTAACCATATGGTAAAAAAATAAATGACCAAAATCAAGCTTCATTAAAAAAAAAAAGTACAATGCCAAACTAATAAATCGAGACAAATCAAGTTACCTTGCTAAATTTGTAAACCTGGTTATTAACTTCATAAAGTTTAATAACTTGATTTTTTAAAAATTATTTTTTATTTAACTAAATATTAAAAAATAAATGGTGCTAAGATGCTAAAATATTTTTCTAATCCCAATCCATTTTACAAAATATTTTAGATCACAATTGAAGTTTTTAAAATTTTTTAATTTAACATATTCATTAAGATTTATAGTTAACAAATAACATCAAATTTGAAAGTAAAAAAAATAAAGGGTTAAAATGAAGAGGAAATTAAATTTAAAACTATCTTAAAAAATATATAAATCTATAGAATAGGTACAAATCTAAAACAATAAGAAATTGAAGGAGGATTAAATTGAGAAGAAAAAAAATCTAATTTTAGAACTTAATTAAAATAAAAAAAATAAGAATTAGAAGAGGAAGGAAGAAATCAAAAAAAAAACTTGAAAAGCTTCCATGCAATAAATCTAAGCTCAAGAAGAATGAGGAGGTTATATTTATGTGTTTTTCATTTTAAAAATACCTAAAATAATAAATCTGAGCTCGAAAAGAATTTTTTATTTTCAAATGGATTTTGGGTTTTAGGATGGTTTGTTGACTTTTTGGTGGCCATAAATTAGTTTAACAATTTAATAGCTAAAGTGCCCCTGTTGACTCCAAATAACGAAAATATCATAATATTTTGTTTATCCTAGAACAATCCAGGCCAAATCTCTCTCTCTCTCTCTCTCAATTGCAAGTCTTAGTCAACTGCTCTTATTTACAGAGACTTGAAATGGAGACAACCTTTTCCTTGTCTTGAACAAAAAAAGGGGACAAGAGGCTAGAAAAAAACATTGCTCACCTTCTTCCACACCTAAACCCTAGCCACCAAAACCACAAACCCAAAACCTAGCCACCGCACCAACTCTATAACCATCCTACCATATCTACATACCAGCCTCTTTCCCTCTCCAAGCAACTCAATACTGAAACCCAGTTACCCCTACTATCAAAATTGCCATCATTTTACCATTTCGTAAGCCATCATCTACACCCGAAAGCGACTGCCATCATTTCTCATCTTTTAAACCACAACCTACAAGGGAGAGCCACTATCACTCTTCCCCCCACAACGACAACATGCCTTAGCTTTCCCCCCTCGTCAGCCACGTACACTGGACCAAAGCCAAGCATAGTTGTAGACCCACGTCTATCACATTCCCAGCCATCAACAAACATGTATAAACTGACCTAAATAATTTTATAAAATGACCTAAATAAAAAAAGGACGAAATTTAAATTTAAAAAAATAAACTTGGAAGGATCAAATTAAAAAAAGAAGAAGTTGGGTAACCGAAAAAGAATTGCTTGAAGTTTTACCTGCTCGTTCAACTTAGTCCTTAATGGAAGAAAATCTAAGGGGCTTGATACTTGGTAAAGCTTCAAATTCAATTCCCAAATTTTAATTTCTCTAAGCTAATATAATTAAGATCTATTTTTCTAAATTAAACATCAACCAAGCAATGAGATATTTTTTTCAAAATCTTGTGATTAGGCATGCAAAACAATCCACGAAAAACCCAAACTCAAATTATTGTAATGTTAAAGGATAAATAAAAAAATTAATTGGTAAAAACATTAAGAAAAAACTGAAGTATAAAAGAAAAAAAACCATTCTGAATTACTTTTGTAGTACATAGTGACCTCTCTTGGTGTACAATATTCCAAGAGAAGATTTAGATTTCTTGTAATGGTGAGATCCAGTGATAAGATCCACACGTACACTGAACATATCTCATAATTTCTCTAAAAACAATTTACTTTTGAGAAATTAATTTATTGATCTGTGATTTTCTAACAACATCTAATACTGTAATGCCTTCAATTGCGAATTCACTTCATTGTGACTTCTTGTTCTGTAATAGGAAAATTGTAAAACGAAAAGAACATTCGTGGAACAACAACGTCAAAGAATCAAATCTAATATAGTAAAAACAAAGACGAGTGAAATATAATATATGAAAACTTTAAAAAGTAGATTTCTGCATGCCCATTTAAAGCTTGAAAATTCATCATTGAACTTCAATGGATAAAATCCCAAATGAAGTGGCTTAATTTAAGTTGGATTAATGCCTTCAATTGCGATTTCACTTCATTGTGACTTCTTGTTCTGTAATAGGAAAATTGTAAAACGAAAAGAACATTCGTGGAACAACAACGTCAAAGAATCAAATCTAATATAGTAAAAACAAAGACGAGTGAAATATAATATATGAAAACTTTAAAAAGTAGATTTCTGCATGCCCATTTAAAGTTTGTAAATTCATCATTGAACTTCAATGGATAAAATCCCAAATGAAGTGGCTTAATTTAAGTTGGATCTGTATTCAATAATAATAATAATAATAATAACCAAGACAATGTCTTATGATTAAAAATCGAGGTACCTTCTTGAATTTAAGTTTGATTTGCTGGCATGGCCCAGATGCAAAGGGTTGCTGCCACGTGGTATTACAATTTAATTAATCAGCCAGTCACGGGCCATTAATTTACTCAACCCATAACAATTTAATTAATTAGCCAGCTGCCTCCCTCGTTACTTGCCGGAGATTATCATCTAATCTCTTAATTATTATGGTGGGATCAACACTAATAATTTCTTGAAGAACACTTTAATTTTCTAACTTTATTATATAATCTTGTAACAGCATCTAATATTGCCCTCGAAAGCTAGGAAAATTTTCTTCGAGCTTAAAAAGACAAGATACAAAACATCACAGTGCACTTGGCTCGTCAATTTTCAGAAGATGGTTGTTTCAGGTTTTCATTGTTTACAGCTGATCAATCTTAGATCCACTCATAAAATTCCAACGATAAAACCAGTCAAATAATTCAGGACATAGCAGCTTGAGCATGAAAAGAGAACTCGACCAAGATGGCTCTGTCAAGTACATGTCACCACGGCAAGCGCTATGCACAATTGCTTCGGCACATTGTCTTGTTGACTCAATCGGTGGGAGAAACTTGGCTTGAAACTATATATAGATCACAGTCAGTAGTGAACTTCCTAAAAATGGTGAATATTCTTGTTATTTACTTGGCTAATGGCCTACCTTTGACAGTGAATCAGGCACAGTCATTTCTGACTCGATCAATCCTGGAAGCACTATTGTTATACCAATATGGGAATCGCATTCAACTCTGAGTGTCTCATAAAAGCTTACCAAGGCTGCCTTGCTTGCCTGAAGTCATTGCAATTGATCCATCGTTAGTGATCGGAAATGAGAAACTGGTCATTAGAATTGCATAAACTAGCTAGGGATATGCATACATTGTAGAAGGTTGCCCTTGGAGTTGGTACCCAAGCTGCCACTGATGTAATCGCAACAATCTTCCCTCTGCTTTTCCTCAGGACTGGAATAGCAAAGCGAGCGCAATATGTTGCCCCCAAGAAATTGACATCTTGAGACAAGGATGGAAATTGAATGTTGTTATTTTTATGATAATAGTTTAAAAAAACTATCATTTGGACAGGCTTAGAACTAAAAATTAATGCATTCTTACTCCCAGACACACTCTGTAAACTTAAACAAATTCCCTGGGGGAATTTCATCATAGAAAAAAAAAATTCACATGAAATTTTTCTTGCTTCCCTCGTTACCGTTTTCTCTGGAGAAGTCCCATTTGAATATTATATGATGTAGGGATCTGTTGGATTTTGGGTACAGAAATACCCTAAGGTTGTGTTAATATTGACTCCAAGTAATAAAATTTATTCATGCTAAAGTTACCAAGATAGGAGCGAAATCAGACAGCTTGCAATTTTCGAACAACTCAGCCCGCAAAATCCCGGCGTTACTAACCAAATGATCCACTGTTAAAGAAGAAAAAAGACCATGACATGTTACAGCTTAAAAGAATTATCAGGCATAATTGGCAGATAACAACGTCCGAGAAACCATTCTTTGCTTGGATACTTACGGTGACCGAAGTGGTTCACTGCCTCATCTACAATTCGTTTGCAATCCTCAACCTTGGCAACATCAGCGCGGATGACAACAGCCTCCGGTGAACCCAGCTCATGGGCTTTATCGGCGACTTCTCTAAGACGGTCTTCTCTTCTTGCAACAAGGGCTAATCTAGCTCCTCGTCTAGCATACTCGTATGCAAGACCCATTGTTTTTTTCCACATACAATACAATAGAAATATTATCAATATCAGATATAGCAGTAGATGTTGCTCATCGAGTCATATTAAAATTTATCTTAGAAAATCATGAGCCCAGTGGGGGTGTTCTATTCAGTACACATGCGAATCTATCAAAAAGGGGAAAAAATAGAGACTGATACAGACCTCACCAATGCCAGAAGATGCTCCAGTGATGAGCACAACTTTTCCAGCCACATTTTCAGTGAACATAGATCTTTTTATGTAACTTAGCAACTTGAACACAAGGTATGGCGGTATGATAACTAGGATTGAAATGATTATCATAAGAGGAAACACTACATTCAACAATTTGTGAATCGAGGTCATTGCCATGTTCCGTTGAAAATTGAAATGAGATAGGAAATCGAGTTTTTATGCCTCTCTTGGGGAACTTGGAAACAATTAATTAGTTGAAGTTTTGGCTTATCTAGTTGGCTGAATGTGATTGCCGGCTAGCACGATCTGGCTTCGGAATCAAAACTCGATAAAAATACCAGCCTTGGCAGCCTCATATAGACATTTAAATTTAGTACATGTGCGGTCGTAAATTTATTCATCTTTTTTTTTTTTTTAGTGACGTTGCTACCATTCATAATATATAATGTTCCATAAATATAATAAAAAGTATATGTGTGAATGATGCGGATAATATTTTTATTTAGATAAATATTATAAAAAAAACAACAATAAAAAAATAAAAATGACTAATAAAAAAATAAATGTTTTTCAATATTACAAAAAGTATACTTCTAAATATTCTTAAAAGATTTCAATGATTTTATTTGATAACAAAGCAAATATTAAATAAGAATGAGATAATCTCATAAAAAAAAAAGAAAAAAAAAACTCGTAGCTTAATTACCAGCAAAGCAAAGATTGAAGGATTATTTGAAAAACATTATGTAAAAAAAATAAAAAAATATGACCCGAGTCAATAAATTAAATTGATGAGATTGGAATAAGCCTGCATAAAAAAAATTGAATAAAAAAATAGTGGTAAACTTTTAGGCAAACTAAATGATAAAAGATAAGATTAAAAAAAATTAATTTAAAAAACATTGAAAAAAATCTAAGTCAACCCGAGTTAACTTGATTAACCCGCAACCTGAAATACGAGATCGGTGTAACCCAACTTAAAAAAAAAAAATAAAAAAAATATAGGCCCAATAATCTAATGCCGAGGAACAAAATGTTTTTAAAAAAATTTTAAAGACTAAATTTAAACCAAATTAATTTTCAAAACTCATGATCTGAGTTAAATGAACGAGTTACCTCAAAGAAGAAAAACATTAAAAAATAATGAAGCAAAATTTATATTCATCAAAAAATTAAAAACAAAACAAATATTAATCAAAACAATAAGATTCATATTTGGTATAAAAATAAAATGAAAAAAATAATAAGGGACTAGATAAAAAAAATAAGATAAATCAAGAAAAAGATAAAGGAAAATAACAATAAAAAATAAGATCAAATTAGATATAAAAAATAAAATAAAATATCAAAGGATAAAATTGAAAGAAAATCAACTTAAAAAAAGTATTAAAAGTAAAATAAATAGCAATAAAAAAATAAATACCAAATTTAATACAAATACAAATAGATATAACATGTTTGATTTTTTGAAAGTGTTGGCATGAAACCCAAGATGGAAAAAAAAATAGAAAGAAAATAAATTCACTAAAACTAGTAAATTAAATATGAAAAATAATATTATAAAAATAACCCTTCCTTCAAAAAGATAATAAAACTCAACAACGAATATGCTAGATGCAAGATAGATTATGTACACGCCCAAATTTATAACTTTATATACAATAATTGGCTGAATCTGCTATTGTATAATTTAAAATATATATTTTTGAGAAATATAATTTCTTGAGCTGCTTGTATAAATGGATGAATCATATTTTAAAAATTCTCTTGAGATGATATTTTTGGAAACAATATACTCAATTGATCATTTTTAAAGAACGTATATGGACCAATTAACAAAAAAAATTAAATATAAAACCTCAAATAATTTTTTGAATGAACTAACAAACATAAAAAAACATAATTATCTCATGTTTCCTTAAAAAACAACACTGTCTAATGGCAACAAGTTTAACAACAACAATAATAATCAAACAATAACAACAAGAACATAAAAGGTTTTGTATTATTAATAACAATCAGAACTTAGCAAGAAGAATGTAAAAGGCCATTGATTTTTCTTTTGACTGTTCGTTCTCTTAGTTTGTGGGTTCCAAATATATAGTAAATTTCTTATAATTTTTATATAAGGAAAAGAGGTGCTGGAAATCGAGTTCAATTTAATAATTTATAACACTTTAATTGTGGAGTGATATCCAACAAGACCATCTTGCCGTTTCAGGCTTGCAATATAGCTATCGTTTTAAATTTTGATTCGATTTTTGGCCCCCGCTGAAGCACTAAATGTTCAGGCCGGGATCTATATACAAATACACAAATTAAAATTTTGAGAGTTATTTTCCTTGGTTTTTCAGTTCGGTATAAAGCTCTTTTTTTTTCTTTCGTTTTATGCACACAAACATTTTTTTTTCTAGTTGGCTAATTTTTTTTAACACTAGCTGTTATATAAAATTTCAATTATTATATATATATATAAACATTCAATTGTTCATCTGACACAATAGAAAACAAAGGAAAACTCATTATTAATATTCAATTAAATTACGAGCACTAACACTTACGTACGTATCAAAAATTAGTTAATTTATTGGATTGTTTACCTTGGCTAGTGAAGAAGGTGAGGTCATTTCTGTATCGATCAACCCAGGCATCACGATTGTTATACCAATATGGGAACCGATCTCAACCCTCAAGGTGTCATAAAAGCTTATTAAAGCCGCCTTACTTGCCTGAAGTCGCCAAGGATAAACACTAAAAATCAGAAAAGCAAATAAAGAGACGGGAAATTGATCAAGGAAAGCAAGTACTACTAATTGGGATTTTACATACATTGTAGACGCTTAATTTTGGTGTTCGTGACCAAGGAGCTACCGATGATATCACAACAATTTTCCCTTTGCTTCTCTTTAGATGTGGAATGGCAAAACGCGAGCAAAATGCTGAGCCCCAGAAATTTACATCCTATCAGAGCAGAAGGAGAGTGTGGTGTTATATTGTTAATTTATTATTAAATATTTTTATTGATAATATAGTGTTTTGATAGAAGTCTAGAACCAATAAGAAATCCAGTTTTCCAAGGGTGCTGGCATGTTGATGATGATTCATACCATAATATGAGTCAAATCAGAGACTTCAGTGCAATCTTCGAAATACTCAGCTTGAGAAATCCCAGCGTTATTAACCAAATGATCAACTGCAGTGCAGAACCCAGAAGCCATGAGCGATATCAAAACTAACAAAATTAATTATCGTCTTCGCCAACAAATTAATGTCTGATGCCTTGTTTTGATGCCAAGACACAAAGTAAATTTCTAGAACGGGATAGTCATACCAGAGATACTTAGATGTAACAAAACAAGCATTCCTTGTACCAATTAGTGCTAGATATATTTAATTTTCATAACTAAAGAAAAAAACCATATTACTTTGTTTTTTTGATAAATGACTCTATCTATAGTAATATAATTAGATTTTATTTTTCTTAAGATATTCAATCTCCAAGTAAAGTAGTCTTCTCTACATGTATTTCCATCAATTTTCTAATAAAATCTTACAAAAAAAAAAAAAGTAATATAACCTACACGTACATATTTTAATGTAAAAAATGCTCCTTACTCCGAATATAACCTACACGTACATATTTTAATGTCAAAAATGCTCCTTACTCCGAACAAGATATATATATATTTCAAGTTAGTCTTTGCATGTATAATTGTACCTATCCTATCATTAATATTTAATTAGATCTTTACTAAGTCCTTTCCTCATTATTCTGAACAAAATATATGTTTTTCTAATTATGCGTGGCATATAAAATTAATTTATAAAACCACAAGTTTACCCTTCTAATATCTTAAGAGTAGAAAATATTTACGCAAATCGTTTTTGTTATTGTATATTTAGTTAATACATTTTTATCTTACCATTTTTTTTTTGACAGTTTTTAGATATCATAAAGCATTTGCTGGAAATTAACTGGAACTTTAATATGTCATCTAAAGTATTTGCAAGTGATATATGCACGTAGTCGACTTACGGTGGCCAAAGTGGTTCAACGTCTCATCAATGATTCGTTTGCAGTCTTCAACCTTAGAAACGTCCGCACGGACATGAAAAACATTTGGCGAACCCAGATTACGGGCTTTATCAGCTACTGCTCTAAGACGGTCTTCTCTTCTTGCAACAAGGGCCAATCTAGCTCCTCTTACAGCATATTCGTAAGCAAGATCCTTAATTTGAGGCCATAGACAAAAACAATAACACCATTATTAATACCATATATATATATATATGTATATGTATGTATGTATGTATATCAAGTAGAGGCAAAAAAGGAAAAAAACCCTCAAACTCTAAATGCGTTGAGATTGATACAGACCTCACCAATGCCGGAAGATGCTCCAGTGATGAGAACAACTTTTCCGGCCACATTTTCACTGAATATGGATCTTTTAATGTAGCTCAGCAACTTGAACACAAGATAAGGTGGTAGAATTATCAGGAGTAAAATGAGCATTGCAAGAGGAAACACAATATTCAACGCTCTGTGCATCAGGATCATGGCTGTCAGGCTATGAGTGCTTTGTTTACGCAAGAGAGAGGAGGGGGAATCTCATTATATGTAGTTATTACTGCCCAACTAACATACACATCACAGTCTTTCAACGATCAATAAACTAACAAACAAGAATCACAGCCTTTCAACGATCAATAAATATCAGTCCTTTTAAGTTACCCAAAAATGGGCGACAAAAATTGCAAGTATATCAAAATGGGGGTCGTTGTCGTTCCAAAACAATATGGGAACTGCTGGCTTCGACGAATAATTAAGAGAGAGCAAAACCCGATGATTGAGAGTGGAATATAAATCCAAAGTAGAAACAAACGATAGTTTAATGATCACGTAAAATACTAACTGGGTAATATAAATCGAATTCGTCTCAATGACATTACACACTTTAATAGGTTTAATGACAGCGAAGGTTAAATTAATTGATATCGTTTTAGATAAAGGTATCATTTTAATTCTTTTTTTTTTAATTTTAATTTTTGAAAATAAGAGGATAAGGGTTATTTTACAATACTTCATAAAATTAAAATAAAAAGATGTTATTGTATTTATTGCACCCTTTAAATTCTTGAATGATAAATGGAACATAATGAATTAATTATAGAATTAGAGGATATTTAAGAATATAATAACGGTTATTTTTTAAAATAGTTTTTATTAGAAATGTATTAAAATAATTTTTTTATTTTAAAAATTTATTTTTGACATTAGTATATCAAAATAATATGAAAACATCAAAAAAATTTAATTTAAAACAAAAAAAATATTTTAATTTTTTAAAAATATTCTAATTTTTAAAAAATATTTTTAAAATGTAAAAACAAACAAATCTCAACCCCAAAAGCATTAATTAGTTTTTCATCGTAAAGTTCTCAAAAGACATTCATTCTTTTTATTTTTATATTTATTTATTTATTTATTTTAGTCACTTTTCTTTAATCCCACACTCCCCTAAATTCATTTATAAATTGGTGCAATAAAAGTTATGTAAATAAAATGAATGAGAAAAACATTGTCAACAGTGCATCCACATTGTATGTTTTGTGAGGGGATCCATATTGTATGTTGCACAATGGATTCCCCCTAACTTTTATATTTTCATGTAATAATAATTTTTTTAAAACAAATCTAAAGAAAAAACTACAAAAGAATGGTGTAAATGAGTAAAGTGTAGAGTGATAAGTTAATATTTCAAGTATAAAAAATAAAAAATAATATTTTTTTAAAGAAAGTAAAAAAACTAAAAAAAAGATGAGATAAAAAAATGATTATAAATAGGCCATGATAAATATATCAAATGTAAAGAAAATAAAAAGAAAAAAATATAAACAATTGTTTTTTTTGTAGAAAAAACTAAAAATTATGTGTCATGACCCAGCTTTTTCAATGCTAAAATTAGAATGAATTTTATTTTTAATAAGTTGTTAAATTCTCAGTACTTTTTACAATATCATTTCACAAATTATAAATATATTTCATTCACCAGCAAAATATAAATCACATAAGATACTGTAGTTAATTTTCCATGCAAAAGTATACATATGCATTCTCGCATGCTTACAAATCTATAATTATTATATATATTTTTTGATTTTTAAAATTAATAATTATATATATTTTCAGTAATCTGAGAAGATTTAAATTAATAATTATTAAAAAATAAATCTAAAATCTGAATAATTAACCAATTGAACTACCCTAAAGTTTATATATAGTTATTTTCCGTCGTGGGTTGCTGGCAACGACCTTCTACTGCCCAGCTAACATAAACATCACAGTCTTTTCAACGATCAATAAACTAACAAACTTACATCACAGTCTTTCAACGATCAATAAATATCAGTCCTTTTAAGTTACCCAAAAATGTGCATAAAAAATTACAAGTACATCGTCGCCGTCGTTCCAAAACAATATGGGAACCGGTGGCTTCAATAAATAAGCTCTGGAAAGTTGGGAGAGCAAAACCCGACGATCGAGAGTGGAATATTAATCCAAAGTAGAAACAAACGATAGTTTAATGATCACGTAAAATACTAACTGGATAACATAAATCGAATTCGTCTCAATGACATTACACACTTTAATAGGTTTAATGACAGCGAAGGTTAAATTAATTGATATCGTTTTAGATAAAGGTATCATTTTAATTCTTTTTTTTTTTAATTTTAATTTTTGAAAATAAAAGGATAAGCGTCATTTTACAATACTTCATAAAATAAAAAGATATTATTATTGCACCTTTTAAATTCTTGAATGATAAATGGAACATAATGAATTAATTATAGAATTGGAGGATATTTAAGAATATGATAGTGATTGCTTTTTAAAATATTTTTTTTATTGGAAATATATTAAAATAATTTTTTATTTTAAAAAAATTATTTTTAATATTAGTATATTAAAATAATATGAAAATATTAAAAAAAATTAATTTAAAACAAATAAAAATATTTTAATTTTTTAAAAATATTTTTAAAATGTAAAACAAACAAACCTCAACCTCAAAAGCATCATTTATTAGTTTTGTTTTCGAGGACAAAATTAGTTTTTCATTGTAAAGTTCTCAAAAGACATTCATTCTTCTTACTTTTGTATTTATTTATTTATTTTAGTCACTTTTCTTTAATCCCACACTCCCCTAAATTCATTTATAAATTGGTGCAATAAAAGTTATGTAAATAAAATGAATGAGAAAAACATTGTCAACAGTGCATCCACATTGTATGTTTTGTGAGGGGATCCATATTGTATGTTGCACAATGGATTCCCCCTAACTTTTATATTTTCATGTAATAATAATTTTTTTAAAACAAATCTAAAGAAAAAACTACAAAAGAATGGTGTAAATGAGTAAAGTGTAGAGTGATAAGTTAATATTTCAAGTATAAAAAATAAAAAATAATATTTTTTTAAAAGAAAGTAAAAAAAACTAAAAAAAAAAAGATGAGACAAAAAAAATGGTTATAAATATACCATGATAAATATATCAAATGTAAAGAAAATAAAAATAAAAAAATCTAAATAATTGTTTCTTTTGTAGAAAAAACTAAAAATTATGTGTCATGACCCAGCTTTTTCAATGCTAAAATTAGAATGAATTTTATTTTTAATAAGTTGTTCAATTCTCAGTACTTTTTACAATATCATTTCACAAATTATAAATATATTTCATTCACCAGCAAAATATAAATCACATAAGATACTGTAGTTAATTTTCCATGCAAAAGTATACATATGCATTCTCGCATGCTTACAAATCTATAATTATTATATATATTTTTTGATTTTTAAAATTAATAATTATATATATTTTCAGTAATCTGAGAAGATTTAAATTAATAATTATTAAAAAATAAATCTAAAATCTGAATAATTAACCAATTGAACTACCCTAAAGTTTATATATAGTTATTTTCCGTCGTGGGTTGCTGGCAACGACCTTCTACTGCCCAGCTAACATAAACATCACAGTCTTTTCAACGATCAATAAACTAACAAACTTACATCACAGTCTTTCAACGATCAATAAATATCAGTCCTTTTAAGTTACCCAAAAATGTGCATAAAAAATTACAAGTACATCAAGCTGTGGGTCGTAAAATGTGCATAAAAAATTACAAGTACATCGTCGCCGTCGTTCCAAAACAATATGGGAACCGGTGGCTTCAATAAATAAGCTCTGGAAAGTTGGGAGAGCAAAACCCGACGATCGAGAGTGGAATATTAATCCAAAGTAGAAACAAAAGATAGTTTAATGATCACGTAAAATACTAAGTGGGTAAAATAAATCGAATTCGTCTTCATGACATTACACACTTTAATAGGTTTAATGACAGTAAAGGTTAAATTAATTGATATCGTTTTGGATAAAGGTATCATTGAGACATTAATTTAATTCTTTTTTTTTTAATTCTAATTTTTGAAAATAAGGGCATAAGGGTCATTTTATTATGTATCATAAAATGAAAAGTTGTTGCTGGTCAAAACAAATTGACCGTTGTGAAATTACAGAATTAGCCCCTAAAGCAACATTTATTGGTTTTGCTTTCAAGGATAAATTTGGTTTTTCATCCTAGAGTTCTCAACAAGCATCCATATTTCCCGCTTTTATTTATTTATTTTTTTCTTTTAATCTCACCACAAATTAGCCAAAATTAACTTATAATCTGGTACAACAAGAGCTACATAAATAAAAAGGATCTACAATGCATTACGCACAATAAAATCCCCGTACCTTTTAGATTTACTACTACTAATAAGTTTAAAAAATATATAAAGTAAAAATTACACAAAAATAATGTAAATAATTTAAGTGTAGAGTGATAAATATTTCAAGTATAAAAAAATAATTTAAAAAAATAAAAAAAAACAAAAACAAAAAGATGAGAACAAAAAAATAGTTATAAATTTGTAATCAAGTGTAAAGTGATAAATATGTTAAATATAAAGAAAATACAAGGAAAAAATCTTTTAAAAAAACAAAAATTATGGATTTGCCATTGCTATAGTAAAATATTGAAAAAAATTAACATATGTTAAATATAAAGAAAATACAAGGAAAAAATCTTTAAAAAAAACAAAAATTATGGATAAAACAATTAAAAAATCTATTATTTCTATATGGAAACATTATTTTCTTAGCTAAATTTCAAATTAAATTGAGTATGAAGGCATCAACCATAGAACAATATATATATATATATAAACTGTGAAAACTTAGTAAAAATAAAATGAAAGAAATTATGAAACTCAATTTTCAAATAACTCAATATAAAAAAATAAAATAAAAAATTATTTTAAAAAATAAAAGTTAAACCTAACAAAACTAAAAATCTAATAGGTGCATGGATTTTTGAGGTTCAATAACATGATTTATTGTTCAAAAACATTTTTTTAACCATATGGTAAAAAAATAAATGACCAAAATCAAGCTTGATTAAAAAAAAAAGTACAATGCCAAACTAATAAATCGAGACAAATCAAGTTACCTTGCTAAATTTGTAAACCTGGTTATTAACTTCATAAAGTTTAATAACTTGATTTTTTAAAAATTA